ACGACGACGAAACTGTACCCAGAGCGCTGTCGCCAGGGGACTGAGGTCAATGGCTGTCCGTAAGGAACGACGCTGCACGTAGAGCCCTGGGGGTCGCCCCCCCCCCCCCCCCCAGCCACCAGCAACCAGCAGCCCAACTGGCTCCTCAAGCTCACCTTGAAACCTGCCAATCCGATGGACCTTGCATACTCGACCCCATGGACGTGCGCTCTCGATGGCACATGTGCGCGCCGGCGAGGCGCACAACCTGCTCGGCATCCTAAAGAATTCAGAGGAACCCATCAGAATCCCTGGGAATTGCCAGGAACCCCTGGGGATCCATCCACAGGAATCCTCGGAATCCCTAGAAATGCCTGGGAATCCCTAAGGAATCCGTCGGGAGGAATCCTTGGGAATCCTTGGGAGGATTCCCTCGGGATCCTTACGAATCCGTCGGACTCATGCGGAATCCTTCGGGATCCTGAGGACTCCACAAGAATCCTTAGGAATCCCGAGCAAGCCTTAGGATTCCGTAGGGATCCTTAGGAATCCTCAGGAATCCTTAGGAATCCCTCGGAAAATCAAAAAAAACCATCGCAATCCTGAAGAGGCCCAATAGAATCGTTAAGAATCCGTACCGCTCCGAGGAATCCTTAAGAATCCTAGGAATCCTCAAATTCCATAGGAAACCCTAGGAATCCCCAAGGGATCCGTAGGAATCCCACAAGGATCCATAGGAACCCTTGGGAATCCTAAGACATGCTTCAGAATCCGGAGGAATCTTTTGGAATCCCCAGGGATCCCTCGGAATCTTCAGGAATCCCGAGCACTCCAGGAAATCATTAGGAATCTTGAGGAATCCATGGGAATCCTAGAAGGAATCCTTAGGAACCCGAAAAGGATCATTCGGAATCCTTCGGAATCCTTGAGGATCCTTAGGAATCCTTAGGAATCCTAAGGAATCCTGCGAAACCCAGGGAATCCAAAGGAATCCTGGGGATTCCTTCGGTATCTCTAGGGTTCCCTACCAAGGATTTCCGACTAAGGACCCCTTACCAAGGATTCCCTATCCTAGGAATTCGAAGAATCCATAGGAAACCATAGGAATACATAGGAACCCATATGATTCCACGGAAGGACATATAAATCCTTAGGAAACACCAGGAATACATAGGAAACCCTCGGTATCCCTAGGACTGCTTAAGGGTCAATAGGAATCCATACGAATCCATACGAATCCTGAGAAACCCATAGGAATCCATATGAATCCTGAGGAATACATTGGAATACGCATGAATCCTTAGGAATCCGCTGGGGTCTCTCATTAATCCCTCGAGAATCCGCAGGAATTGTGGGAATCCATTTGGAGCCCTAGGAATCCCAAAAACCTGAACAACCAGCAACCCCAGTAACACCCAAGGGGGACCTTCGATCGATATCCCATAAGAGCCCATCGGAAGTCATAGCATCTTCATCACAATTGTCATCGTCGTAATCCTCCTCCATCCCCTCCTTCTCCCTCCTCCCTCCCTCCTCCTCCCTCCTCTGCCTCCTCCTGCCTTCTCCTCGTCATTCTCCTCCTCGCCCACCCTCGGACAGTACAGGATCAATCAGCATCACGGGCTCTAGAGGCTTCTTAGAGGGGTCTAGGATGTGGGGATGCTTCTGGATGGTGGCAGTCGGACCATAACTCGTGTCTCCGTCGGCCGTTCGGGGCGAACTCCTGGCGCAGAACATCTGCTGGAACGCAGCCCGAGGCTGAAACGCATGCAGGAGCTCGCAAACAAACATGTGGTACACCTGCTCGGGATGTGGAGAGGTTTCTGAGGCAGCCCTCCGCGATCCAAGATCCCCCTCTGCATCTCACCCTCCTGCCCCCCCCCCCCCTCCTCGATTCTCGATCGTCCAGCCCCGATCTTCCTCCTCCTCACCCTCCTCCCCCTCCTCCTCCTCCTCCTCCTCCTCTTCCTCCTCTTCCCTTCCCTCCTCCTCCTCCTCCTCCTCCTCCTCCTCCTTATCCTCCCCCTCCACCGCCCCCTCCACCTCCCCCTCCCCCCCCCTCCCCTCCCATCCCCCTCCCCCTCCTCCTCCCCCTGTTCCGTTTCCTCCTCCTCCTCCTCGTTCCTCTGTCCTTCCTCCTCCCTGCTCCCAACTCCTCCTCCCTCGCCCCTCCTCTCTCCTCCTTGCTCCTCCACCCTCCGCCATCCTCTCTCATCCCTCCTCCCTCCTCCGTCCTCCCTCCTCTTTCCCCCTTCCTCCCTCCTCCCTGTTCCCTGCTCCTTGCTCCGTGCTACCTGCTCCCTGCTCCCTCTTCCCTGCTTCCCGCTCCCTGCTCCCTCCTCCCTCCTACGTCCTCCCTCTCCCTGTTCCCTGCTCCATTCTCCCTCCTCACTCCACCCTCCTCCCTCCACCCTCCTCCCTCGTAAGTCCTCCCTCCTTCCGCCTCCTGTTTCTCCTCCTTTCCCTCTGGTTCCTTCTCTTCCTCCTCCTCCTCCTCCTCCTCCTCCTCCACGACGGGCACTGATCGGAGCAGCCCCAGCCGCCAGAGAACACGCGGGCGCACTGCGGGGCATCCTGCGGGAGCACGTCGACGGCGACCTCCCGCAGGGAAGCCGACATGTCCCCGATGCTCGCGGGGTCGTCCTCGTCATGTTTCCAATGTGTGTCGCTTCGCTGACCCAATATCAGGCCGAACAAAATGTGCTGACAGGACAACCCACTAATCCAGGCTCGCTCCTTCCCTCCTCCTCCTCCTCCTCCTCCTCCTCCTCCTCCTCTTCCTCCTGTTTCCTCCTCCTCCTCCTCGTTCGTTTCCTCTGTATTTCCTCTTCCTCCCCATCACGGGCATCATCCGTTTCATCAACAACAACATCATGATTACCACCATTACCACTGTACTCAGCATCATCAACATCAACGTCAACATCATCATCATCATCATCCTCATCCTCATCCTCATCCTCATCCTCATCCTCATCCTCATCCTCATCCTCATCCTCATCCTCATCCTCATCCTCATCCTCATCCTCATCCTCATCATCATCATCATCATCATCATCATCATCATCATAAGCATCATCATCACCATCATCATCATCAGGAGCATCAGCATCAGCATCAGCATCAGCATCATCATCATCATCAGCATCATCATCAACATCATCATCACCATCATCGGCATCAGCATCAGCATCAGCATCATCATCATCATCGTCACGACCAACACCATCACCATCGTCACCACAATCATCATCAGCATCATCATCACCAGCAACATCCCCATCACCAGTATCAGCATCATCCGCATCACCACCCTCCTCATCAACATCCTCATCCTCAGCAGCATCATCATCAGCATCCTCATCCTGCCTCTTCTTCTTCTCCTCCTCCTCCTGGATATGATCATCCCTCCTCTTCCTCCTCTTCCTCTTCCTCCTCCTCCCACTCATCCCCATCATCATCATCCTCCTCCTCCTCGTCCCCCTCCTCCTGTTCCTGTTTCTGTTCGTCCTCCTCCTCCTCCTCCTCCTTGTTGTCCTCCTCCCTCCTCGTCTCCCGCAGCCATTCTGATTCGAGATGATTGCGGTGGAGGCTTTCGGCCCCCGAGCCCGACTGGATCGCGCTAGTCCGTGCGCGTTCTCTCCCTGTGCGGGGGCAGCGCCCTCCGTCGCCACGCGGGAGCTGGCGCCCCTGCTTCGCACCCGGCAGCCATGGCGCCCCGCCCGTTCTCCCGGCGTTCCCGCGGCAGCTGGATCTACAACTTCCGGCCCCTCCACAGCGGTGGGGCGTGCGACAAGTGTCAAGTCGGGCCCGCCCCTCTACAGGGGGAATACTAAAAAAAAATAATAATTAAAAAAAATAGTCTGGGTACCATTTTTTGAATAGTTGTTGGGCCATGTCGGGGCATGTTGTGAATGCTGGTTATTTTTCGTCCAACATCCCCCTGTAGGGGGACACGCCCGACTTAAGACAAGCGCCCGCAGAACATCGATACCTTCCAGCCAGGCACCAAGGGCAACAGCACCGCGGGCGGCGGCGAAGGAGGCAATGGCGGCGAGTTCGGCCAGGGCGGCCCGCCAACTCTGCCATTTGCCACAGCAGAGAACAAGTTAACACGTGCGACACCAACTGGATGCTCGAGCAGTTGCTGGAGGTGCCTGCGCTCTCGGCCGACGCGAAGGCCATCCGGCAACGCGAGTCCGCCTACGCCGCCAGCCTGGCCAAGCCGAGGGTTCCCACCCAGGTCACTCGCGCGGGCCAGATCAACGAACAGAAGGAGGCGGCTCTAGAAAAATACGTTAGCGGCGGAGGCGGCTCTTCAGGAGGCCCGCGCCCAGCAGGAGCCGCGGTCACGGGAGCGGTCGTCGCCGAAAAGGTCTCCGACCAGGCGCTGGCGACCCTCGCGGCCAAGGTCGGCGCCGAGCCCAAGGCCCCCGACTTCAGTGCCAGCGACGACGTCGACGAGGCTCAGAAGCAGCAGCTCAATACGATTCAAGCGCAGTTCGAGGCCCACGTCAAGCAGGCGGAGGTGCTGCAGAAGCAGATGGCGGACGGACTGCGCGGCGTCTACCAAATTCGCGATGCCCCAGCCAAGAAGCTCCGCACTGGCCCGGGCAGCTCAGACGCCGCGGCGGGCCCGGGAACTGCTGCTGCTGGAAAAGCCTTTCTAAAGACCAACACGACGCTCGACGACCCCAAGGCCGAGATCGACGACGTTGACATGGACGACGACTTCGACCCCTCACCTCCACAGGCTTCCAAGGAGGAGGTCGCTGCCAAGGTCGCTGTCCCCGCCGAGGCTGCCAGGGCTGCCGCCGCGCGCGGCGTGCAGGCGGCGGGCGGGCACGAGCCCGCGGGCGGTGTTGGCCCGCGGCGCAGCCAGCTGCGGCAGCGGCGTCGGCGGCAACCCGGCCGCCCCAGCACCGCCCGCTGGCGAAAAGGAGAATGACGCCGACGCCACCTTCTTCTCCTTCTTCTTCGCCAGCGTTTCCGAGCGGGGGCCCACGGCACAGCGCTCCATGAATGCCCAGGCTGGGCGCCGCGACGTGCTCGGCTGCGCGGAGACGCGCTGCGCGGGGAGACGCCGGGCACCTCCCATGCCGACGCGGCCAAGGGCGGCTGGGAGACTACTGCGACACCAGCGGCGGCCACGGGCCGCTCCGAGTCTGGGACTACAGGCGACGAGGCCGCCGCCACTAAGCGCGCGCTCGCCGCGGCCAGCTTCGAGGAGCGGCGCAAGCGCGAGATTGCCCGCGCGAAGCGCTAACCTTTCAAAGGATTATGTCCCATGGTCTGGCGCGCGAAGACGGGCGGAGCCATCGCCGTCTCGGCCCGCGCGCAGCCGTGCCGCGGGTTCCAGGGGCCGAGCGGCGGGCTCCTCATACGCATCGCCGGGGTACTTTTGGTAGGTTGGAACGCTCCCCCTACGTCATGGGCGAAGAACGATTCGCGACGGAAGCTGGGAAGTGATCTAGTCCCCCATTAGGCAACGACAGCACCTGCAACCTCGACCAAGGCTCGCCCATCGACGGCGGCCTCTGCAAGCTGGGCGTTGCTAGCGCGTTCAAGTTAGAGACGCCCGCCGAAGCTCCTCGGCATTCCCACGTTTTTTTATACGATTGCGCTCTGGCAAGCAGCACTCGTGGAACAGAATTCGCGTCGCACCCAATCAGCCCCCGACGGCTTCTCGGCCCGCGAAGCAGGCCGACCCGAACGGCAAACGTCAGAGATCCACTGCCGAGCGTCGAGCTAGGAGACAGGAGGCGCTAGAGGATGCATTTCAGGAAGCCCGCGCGGAGCTTGGCCAGCAGGAGACCTTCATCAACGAGAAGGGAGCGTGCGTTGGCTTCGAGTTGCCCTTGGTTTCATGGCGGCAGGTCGCCCAGTCCGCACCACTAATGGCACATTCGCTTGCTCGGCCACGCGGGGCTCAGCCCGCGGCCCCCGCTGCCGAAGGCGACTGCGATGGAGGGGGCGTCTTCAAGCCGCATGTCCTGGTGCAGCGCGAACCCGTCGACCCAGCGAAGGTTGCCAACTGGCTCGACAAGCGGGCCCACTCCGCGGAGAAGGCCGCGCTCATGCACTGCCAGATGCCGCGCGAAGTGCATGGGCCGCCACGTTGGCCGCGGCATCGGGCGGAAGCGTGCCGGCTCCGCGCCGGCCAGAGCCCGCGCGCGAGACTCGCTGCTGGAATGGCGGCGCCTCGCCACCGCGCTTCTGGTTCGGCGCCGACGCCTTCGACGCTTGGACGCAGCAGAGGAAGAAGCCATTCTCCTGGCTGACAATGGCGCTGAGCTGCCCATGACCGCCGTCGACAATGAGCTCCAGGAGCCTTTTCAACGGGTGCGAGGAGCGGCTCTGTGGATCGCCGCCGTCGGCAACCTGGGAGACCTGCCCTTCGGCGACGTCGAGGACCTGGTCGACATCGGCGAAAGGCACCGGGCCCGAGCCAACGGGATAAGCCTCGGCGAGGCTCGGATGGCCGACGCGACATGGGCAACCAAGATGTGGAAACAATCACCTGGGTTTCTACATCGACACGTCAAGCGTTCAATACTACCGCGCCCTGGGACCGACGCCGAGGGCAACGCCCGTGCGACCCCTCGCACGCCCATGGGCGGGAGGGCCGACGAGTGGGAGAACATTTCGAGCGACCCAGATGTTGGCGAGACGGACGTCCCCCATGGCCTCGACTACGTCATCGGGCGCGCGAAAGGCGAGAACGTCGACCCGATCGAGCGCGAATCTCTCGACAAGGCGCTCTCGCGCCAGAGCCCCAAGAAGAGCCGCAGCGTTGACGACCCGGGACCGATCGAATCGCAGAGGTTACCGTCGCCAGCTCGACAAGAGCTAGTGGACTGGCGAAAAACGCGCAACATGGCCCCGCCAGTTCCCTACCTAGGCTCTGCCTAGAAAGGTTCTTACTTTATGAACTTAAAGAGCCGGGCAGTGTAAAACGGCCCGGGCGGCCACCCCGGCATCCGCCCCGCGGTTCCGCCAGGGTCCGCCCCGCGGTTCCACGCGAGCCTAGCTAAGCTTAGCCAAGTTTAGCTCAGCTCAGCTTAGCTTATCTCATCTTAGCTTAGCTTTGCCTGACCTAGCCTAGCTTAGCTTAGCTTAGCTGGTCCCATCTTAGCTTAGCTTAGCATAGCCTAGCTTAGCCTAGCCTAGCCTAACTTAGCCTAACATAGCTTACCTTAGTTTAGCTTGGCGCAGCATAGCGCAGCGCAGCGTTAGCATATCATAGCATAGCATTGCATAGCCAAGCAGAGCATCGCAAAGCTCAGCATACCATAGCATCGCACATCATGTCATAGCGCAACATAGCATAGCATAGCATAGCATGGCATAGCATTGGTTAGCCTAGTACCGCGCAGCATAGCATCGCATACCATAGCAAAACATAACAGAGTGCAGCACAGCATACCACATCATATAATAGCAGAGCATAGCGCAGTATAGCATAACATAGCATAGTCTAGCATATCGTAGCATAGCGCAGCATTGCACATCATATCATAGCATCTCATAGCATAACACAGCGCCGCAAATCATAGCATACCATAGCATAGCATAGCATAGCGCAGCATAACATATCATTGTATAGCATAGCATAGCATAGCGCAGCATAGATGTAGATGTAG